AGCTAAAGGGAAGGAGATTTGAGACGATAGAAGAGATTCAGGCAGAATCGCAGATGGTGCTTGACAGGCTGACAAAGAAAGATTTCCAGGGATGCGTCCAGGCTTGGCAGCGGCGCTGGGGTCGTTGTGTTCACTCCCAGGGGAAGTACTTCGAGGGTGATGGATGAATTTAATACCTGAGATAAATGTACGGGTTTTTATAGGCGCAGTCTTGAAACTTTCCGATCGCACCTCGTATATGAACGGCGGCAAACTAATCCGTTCGAAGGTGTCCTGTCTTCTGGGCTGTTGCGCCGTGTAGTGTGACAGAAGTTTACCAACGTTTCCTAGACGCTTGGCGAAGAAGAGATCCATCTTCCCCAGCTTCGAGTTTTGTCATTTTTGTGCTATCTTGTTAACATGGAGGATACCTGTGGTGTGGACGCAGGTTAAGTGTAACCAAAGGCTTTTCAGAACAGCTGTTGCCGCTGGCGAACGTGTGTAAGAGGAAAAAACACACACATTAAAATTATTTTATTCTAGTGTCGTGCATTGGGTCCGCAGTGGCCGTTTGGTCGCTGGGACCGTGGGTTCGAATCCCACTGAAGCCATGGATGTTTGTGCTGTCCTGTGTACAGGCAGAGGCCTTGCGACGGGCGATCCCTCATCCAAGGAGTCCTACCGAATGTCTATAGATCGAGCCAACGAAAAGTTGGGACCCGCAGTGCTGAGGCGCTTGAAGAACGGGTCGTTCCCAGTATCCAGTGTCGTGCATTGGATAGTATGCAGGCAGCTTAATAAAGAAAGCTAACATGTCATTAGGAGATCGTGTTCAACTTAATTTACAATGTGGATAATAGAGCAGTGAAGAGAGATCTTTCTCATGAAAAGCGAGTGATATTTGTGCAACGTGTTAACTACCGCTGCAACAGGAAGTTCAAGAAGTTATACGTATTGCGAATGAAGCAAAGGAAAGGTAACAAACTGGCAGACATCGACAAATGAGAGCATGGACCTCAGTTGCTAAGAAAATCAGTGTGAGAGAGGAGAATTTCGTAAACGTAGAATATAAGATAATGGAGATTTAAGTTTTAAGTTAAGATAAATTGTATTAGGACAGACACTCATTCAACTGGTTTGTGTGCAGTTTTGAGTGTGGCGAATGTTCGATTTAAGTTTAATCAGTCTGTTGCTTTGTATTCTGAAAATGGTTTTCTTTGAAAGAAGTGGGGGAGTAAGGAGCAAGGCACGAACCAAGCCGGACAGCGGGCGAACAGC